ATTTAAATGTATATCTGATGAATAGCATTTGCCTTATGCTTTGATGAAGTCCTGAAACTTGGTTAGAAACGTCAACAAACAATAAAATAAGGTATCATATTAATGTGTAATTCCCTTTCATCACAATCAACTTCTAATAATGTCTAAATTTATATAATGTTCACATTCTAGTAATGATTAGAAAAGATTAAACAATGATTAGTGGAATAAAGAATTGAACTGTAAATTAATAAAAGAATAAGAAATATCATAACAAAACGATAAATGTTCAAACTGATAATTATAGATCAAACATAAAACTTTTAATATAACATAAAAAAGTAACTCAAAAATAAAATAAAACATTTTACAGAAACAAATTAAAAAATATGACTATCATAATACAAACAAATTTATTGAACTTTTTCACTTGGTGAACAATTATTAATTAATTGTTAATAACCAGTATTATTAATCAATGTACATTAGGATTCTTTTTAATACTATGTTTAATCTGATCCTAAGTACTAGTAGAAAGTGATGATTACATACAATTTTTAAAGTAGAAATTAAGGCAAAAAAAAAAAAGGAGCATCAAAAGAGATAGTATCGGATCTGTTATCAGCCAAAGATCCTCTTCAGAACCAGATCTTACAGAAAAGCACTAGCGGTTCCAGGATTTAAATTTGGGGGGGGATTCGGCCTAAGTCCTATTAAATATAATTACACGAACAAGAATGCTTTAAGAGATAGTTTTTAATTTTTTTTTCTGTAAAGCCTGGTTGCATTTTACCATTTTGAGGGGGGGGGGGCTTCAGCCCGAAAGCCACCCCTCCCCCCCGTAGATCCGCCTGTGCAGAAAAGTACAAGGAGAGGAGTACAAGTAACAACTGGTGGTACGAGTAATTCTTCATTGTCCTCTTAAGAAGTTTTCCAAAACTGGAAGAGAAGAAAAAAGACCAGCCAAGAAGTGCAGTGTATCTCGGAATGTTATTAGCCAGTGATATTATCAAGACTAAAAAAGGAAGCAGAAAACATTTGTTGAACAGTTTATTAAGTGTTATTAACTTACTGATTTAACCTGTAAATTTTTGTATTGAATATTTTAAATTTTGTTTTGTTAATTTAAATCAGTTTACAATTTAAAGCATAAATTGTAAAGGTGGGAGTGTGTAGAGTTAATGTATGTTATCAGGCAGCACTGTAGCTGTTATAAACAAAGGCAAGATTGGCTTGGGTGAGGTTACCCAGAGAGTAGTTTTTTTTTGTTTTTTTTTTAATCTATTTATTGAATAATAATACATGCAGCCACTGCTGGAGGGCTATAAGCATTAGGGCTAAAAGTTCTCATTCATACAATATATACAAATAATAAAGAAATAAATATAAATAAAGAAATAAATATAAATCAGAGAGTAGTAGTCTTTTGTTTCTGATAGGGTTATGTATATGTAGAGCAATAAAAGTGTGTTGTGTGTTTGTGGTGTAAAAGTTTATCAACATAGCCTCATTTGTTTCCTGAAGTGATTTCCTGATAATGGTTGTTTCCTGAGTAAGATAATGGTTTTATAGATTCTATTTTTTAAGTTCCGGGACAAGTGGCGCGAACTAAGTAATTTTGCCACAGAAAAATAACAAGCCTTTCCCACCTTCAGTCTAACCTTAATCTCTTCTTCAATTTCGTTTTTTCTAGTTATCGTAGACCCTAGATCCCTAAACTTCTCACCTGTTCAAACATATCACCATCTATATCGATATCACTAGTAATATCGCCATTTTTGTAGTTAACCATATATTTTGTCTCATCTGTGTTTATTTCGAGCCCTAGTTCTTTACTGGCATTCATTAACGTTGTTATATTTAGTTTTATAGTTTTCACGTCTTCGCTTAACAGTACCAGATTATCTGCATAGCCACGGGCGAATCTACGGGAGGGGGCTTTCGAACTGAAGCCCCCCCCCCTCAAAATGGTAAAATATAACTATGTTTTATGGATTTTTTTTTAAAAATACCTCTTAAAGTATTATTGTTCGTGTAATTACATTTAAAAGGACTTTAGGAATCACCATTTCATATAGGTAGTTAATTTCTTTCTGTTTTTCTAAAGTAATTATCATTATTTTTATAAAAAAAAAGCTTTCGGGCTGAAGCCCCCCCCCAAATTAAATCCTGGATCCGCTAGTCCGCATAGCCCAGCCAAATTGAACAAGACAGGCGAAAGGGAATCCCCCTGTTTTAAACCCGAACGAACCTCAAATTTTTCCGACAGATTATTACCGATTCTAACTTTATTGAGTGTCTCCGTCAAGCACATCCTGACTAGATTTACTAGTTTTTTTGGAATCCCCTGCTCGATTAGAATATTATACAGTCATTAGAATCGTAAGCCTTTTTGAAATCGATACACAGCTGGTGAACAATACCGTTGTACTCTAATTGTTTCTCTAATATTTACCGTAAAGAAAATATTTGATCAACAGTCGAAAAATTCTGTCTAAATCCGCATTGTAGTCTCCGATAATTTCCTTGGCATATTCCGTGATTCTACTAGTTAAGATTAAAGTGAATATTTTATAACATACCGGAAGAAGTGAAATTCCTGGATAGTTATTACAATCCGTTCTCGGGCCCTTATTGTGAATCGGAATAAGAATAGATTCTTTCCATTCTTCAATTAATTTCTCATTTTCCAAGATCTATTTAATCAACCAATGTATTTTAGAAACTCCAGCTTCCCCGCATGCCTTAATTAGTTCAGTAGGAATATTATCGGTTCCTGCTGCTTTATAAGATTTTAATTTTCCGATAGCTACTTTAACTTCCTCTTTACTCGGTTCTTCTATTAACGGTCAGCACTCTGGTAGTCAAAAGGAGGACACAGATCATAATTTTCCGTACTTAAAATATTGTCAAAATGGTTCTTAAACTTATTTATTATGTCAACTGGATCGGTCAGAATATTGTTATTTTCATCCCTAATTCCAGACAATGCAGGCCCTAAAACACCTTTATACCTTTGTACATGTCTCTTACGTTATTTTCGGTTCTATTAGTTTCTATTTCAATTATTTTATTTTTAAGATACTCCCTTTTTTTATGTTTGAGCAATTTTGTCGTTTCGTTCTTTGAGGTTCAGAAGTATTCCAAATTGTCTTCGCTAGGATTATTTAGAGCTTTTAATTTAGCGGCTTTTCTTTTTTCGCATATGTTTAAGCAATTTTCATCAAACCACGGTTTGTTATTCTTATTTTCCTTTTTTCCTAGACACGAGTTCTCGACCACTTTAATATTATCTCTGATCTCTACCCATAACTTGTCAATATCCTCGTGGTCCTAGTCAGGAAGCTCTAAAGCTTCAAATCTATTCTTAACATCTAGCTCGAATTGGGTTCTAATTGGTGGATTTTTTAATTTTTCCATATTAAAATTCTCAAAATCGAAACGGTTTTCTTTTCTCTTTTTTATATTAAATTTTTGTCGAAGTTTCGCAAATACTAATTCATGATCCGACCCATATTGTGCTCCGCGATAAGACCGTACATAAATTATACAGCATTGCCAGCTATGTTGTATCAAGACATAATCGATTTTATTTCGTGTTTGCGAATCCGGTGATGTCCAAGTATATTTATGAATATCCTTATGTTTAACCGTAGTACTTTTAATTATCAGGTTTTTCGAGATGGCAAGTTTATCAGAGGGATCCTATTATCATTACTATATTCGTGCAAATTTTCTTTAACAATCGTCAGAACATTAACTTCTTCTCTACCCACCTTTGCGTTCGCGTCACCTACAATTATTTTCATGGTGTTTCGCGGTAGTTTATCATAAACCTATTCGAGTTTATCGTAAAATTCGCATTTGACTTCATCATCACTGTCTTTGGTCGGACAATGTATGTTTATTAATGCAATTTTAAACCAACGCCCCTGAAATATAGCTACCGAAATTCTATCACTAAAGAATTGTACGTCCCTCAAAGCTGGTAGCAATCTATTCCTAATTAAAAACCCGGTACCTAAACAATGATTCCCGCTTCCTCCATATCAAATAGTGTACTTTCCTTCCCTAATCGAGCCCTCCCCTGACCAGCGAACCTCTTGCAGAGCCACGACATCCAAATTGTACCCATTAACCTCATTCACTACCGATTCAACCCCCCTGCTGTGTTTAAACTCCTTACATTCCACGTATCAATATTTAAATCCCAATTTTTCAACTTGACGATTCCCCTAAAGCAGTACCCACCCGGAGATCCGATCGGGGGATTAGTTTACCTTAGGATAATGAGCGTTTTACCTTTGGACTATTTGTGGTGTATGGTGAACTAAAGATAAGTGAGTAGGACGATCAATCATACGTCACACCCTCCAGCAAGTCTGGTGGGCTCCTGCCTCCAGCAAGTCTGGAGATCCCCTCCGTCCAGCAAGTCTGGAGAGCCCCTCTCATTGTTGGTCAACGAGTCCATCGGACTTATCCGGGAGAAACTTCCAAGGAATTTCCAATTTCCACCGACCATCCCTACATCCGCCACCCGTGGGACGCTCCTCATACGCGGTAATGAGTCCATTCGAGGAGCAAACATAATGGAAAGTTTTTTTTATGATTTCGGATGTTGCAAAAAAAAAAAAAGAAGCGGGATATGGAAGTTTCTGTTTCATCTAATTACAGTGGCTATCCAATGCATCACTAGCGCTGCGCAACGGCGCACAAGGTAACATTCCCTTGGATTTTGCCCAAGTTTTCCATTCTAGATGGATACTCAACAAACCTGGGTAACCAACTGACTACCTTCCACCATCTGGTCAAAGTATTCCACCAGCACTTTCTTTTGTTACCTACTACAAACCGGCTACCAAGCCCAGGGAAGCTTCCGCGAACTTAGTCCAAATACCTCATCCACATGTTATAGCTGGTGGTGTTTTGCTTGTAGTGTGGACCCAGAGTTAGGATACATCTATTCTCATACTTTATTTTAACATTATTTTAATTTTTTAATTGAAAGGAATTGTGAAAAAATAAATATATGCTTCATTCTTGTACTAAACTTTTTTGTTAATTGAAATCTATATTCAATATTATTAAGTTTTATTAATCGGTGGATAAATACATCTAGTAATCCTTATTATCTGATTACTGTCAACAGACCGGATTATGAGTAATTGTTTTTGTTCCGCTGTCGGTATTCATCATTCGTTTGGTAATTAGTAACATGAAATGTTAGCATATATTTAAACCATACTATGGCAAATTTTCCTAAACCTTGGGAACAATATGTGAGGAATCATGATTCCATGTAAGTTTTTTTTATTAGAATTTCTATTCAGAAGTGCTAAGTCATGATTTTTAGATTAAGTTGATTGATATGTTATTCATTTTGATAGACTCATTAACATGGATAGTGACAGGATTGAAACAGTAAAGATAGCAAAAAACATTCTATTCCATGTTTCTATTTATTGCTTATCACAATTTCTTTAAATCTAAGAATTATATCTGTCTTCCTCTATCATTATGAAGATGTGTTGCTGTTTGCATCTTAAAATTTAGGTGTGATTTTTTATATGTTAATGAACATTGCTGTAAGGGGGTAATGCATGAACTTATACTTGATCTACATGATAGGAAAAGTTTATCTATCTTGTACCCCTATATTTATAACCAAACCCGAACCCTCGCATTATGATCTCCATTTCGAATGGTAGATATTGGGTTTAAAAAAATGAACTGTTAAAGCAACATTGATTTAAACAGTAATCTGTTTCTTTAATTTAGACATTATATCTGATATGTAAAAATCAGTTACATTACTCGCATATTTACTAATTAAATTTATTTTTGAACCTAAGTTTGCAATGATGAATTGAATGTTTCATATTTCATTATTGCCTAATGTAAAATGAGATTTATGTGCATATTATTGTAATTATTTTTATTTAAGCGTTTGTTGGCAATCTATGTATTAATATTATTCTGTTTTCTCCTGCGGTAAGCAATCCTTAAGATTGATTGATTAACTCCAAAAGAGTAAATATTGCTTAAATTGTTTAAATTCATCTAATCTATGTTTTTTATCTCCTCTTCACAATTACTTCATTATAGATGCCTTAATTAACCTCAATGATTAAGACCCCCTTTAATCCAATTTAATTTCAGATGTGCTTTTTTTTTTTGCTTTTTTTTTTTTTTGCTTTTTTTAAACAATAGAGGGAAAATGAGTTATATGATTGGTTAAGAAAAGGAGGTAACATGATTGTTATAGTATAAAGTAACTCTCTTGTTTTACTATATAGATTAATATAATGGGTGTTCTTAATAAAACAAAACAGTGTGCGAGCAGTGGCATACTTTAGGAGTTTCTTAGGTCGTGTTCCACCCCTAGCCTCAGTAATGAAAAAAATACCCTGTAATTTATAACTTTATATTGCCAGCAAGTAAATATTTTTCTTTCAGCAGCAAAGAACCTTATTATTTGCCTTATAGCTTTTTAAATTGTATTTATACAATACCGTATTTTCATGTTCAGTAAAATTGCTTATACCTTTTCCTCTGTGGACGATTTGTGGATTTTATCTTACATTATTTATAGTTGTCTCTGTTTCAAATTTATTTTTATATTTAAATTTAAATAAGTTATTTACCCTGCCCATGTTATGAAGATAAGCAGAGCTATATATATATATATATATATATATATATATATATATATATATATCTGCACATTTTTAATCTTATTTATGAAGTTCAGATTTATACAAGGAAAGCATTTTTCTTAATTCCTAAAAGTCTTTTCACTTTAACAATTGTCCTTTTTTACAAAATATTATCTCTGGTGATGATGTTGGATTGAGCAATGGGATTATAATGTTGTTAAAAACTCTATATTGCCTTATAAATATCCATATAAAGCATCCTTTTCCAATTTTAACTTCTTTCGATGGCACTACGCTCCTTGCCGAACCCAGGCCTCCTCCACAATTCTCCGCCATTCGTCCCTGTCCAAAGCCGCTCTTCTCCACCTTCGGACTCCAAGTATCCTCAGGTCATCCTCCACGTCCTCTAGCCACTGCAATCTGGGACACCCTCTTCTTCGTCCTCCACCAGGGTGTCCTGGATATTTATATTTATATATATATATAAGCTTCTGGATGAAGCTTCTTTGGGATGCGCCCGTTCCTCCATTCTCTGCAAATATCCCAGCCACCTAATTCTACTCATCTTGATGTAGGTGACAATATCCGGGGCTTTGTATAGATCACGGAGCTCCTGATTGTTCCTCTGCCTCCACCGATCTCCTTCCCTCTGTTTTTATGAATGAATTTTTAAATAACAACATTAAGATACATTTTTGTGACTCAATAGCTAAAATGATAATTTAGAAATTAAACAGAAATATAGGGTAAATAGTAAATTAAAAAATTGGTTGATTCAATTGTAAACAAGGTTAAAAATAAATACGATAATATGGATGGAAAAAGTTATGAGAATATTTTAAGTGAGAGAATTAATGACATTGTGCAATATAATTTTAGCAAACAATCAGATAACATTATGAGAAAAATCGATAGGAAAATACACCCTAAAATTGAAAAGATTAAAATGAATAAAAGTATAAAGAAACTGAACACTCAATATGATTCGATATCCTCAATGAATGGTCAGAATGTAAAACAAGTAAGGAATTTATAAAACATAAATTAGCAGGAAACGAATGATTTATTAATTTTAGAGAAATACAACAACTTATATAGGACTATAGATAGGGTAGAAAATTTGACTAATTATGGGATTCCAAATAATATTCTAAATCTATTAACATTGGGAGATAAATTTAGTTTTGATAATAGAATTATGACAATGATATTATTCAGTTAATTGCGTATTCCGAAAAAATTTACGACAGCTTGGATACCTCAGAATGAGAAATGGATACCATGTTAACGCTACTAGAAATCACATATGCAATGTTATTAATGGATATATATCAAAATTTAAAAATAAACCAAAAATTTTGAAATTGAATAACCAAATAAATAATGATTTAAAGTGTTTTAGGGATTTTCTAAAGTGGTTACGAATAGAAATGATTATACACTGAAAATGGAAACATTATTAGATAATAAAGCAGTATACAAAAAGAACTAATCCGAGTGTAGAATAAGCAGTAAAAATCAATACTTATGTAAATAAATTACAAAAATATGGATATATAGATAAAAATACTAAAAAAAAAATTGGCTAGTAGTAATTATATTGAACTGAGAATACACGGACTCATAAAACTACATAAACAAAATATAGACATTAGACCGATAGTCAACAACATTAATGGACCTAATGATAATTTATCTAAATTTTTTAAGCATGCTATAATGAATTTAAACGGTTTCAATTTTAATCGTAATAAATTCAATGGAAGTAAAAGACAAATTAAATAAATTGAAGCTAGATGAAAATATAAAATATGATATAGTGAGTTTTGACGTGAAGAAATTATTCACTAACATATCAATAGATGAATGTTTAAAAATCATAGAGGAAAATTGGAACAAAATAAAAATTCAAATGAATATAAAAAAATAAAATTATTTTCATGGAAGGATTAAAATTATGTTTAAGCAATAATTTTTAAATTTAATAACAATTATTTCAAACAGACAAATGGTCAAAGTAATAGGAAGTAGGTTTTTAGTACTATTGATTGGTTATTTTTTAAATACAATGTTAAGGGACAAGTTAATAAAATGGAAGATAAACCAATTATGGTGCTGAAATATATTGATGACTTACTCATTATCACAAAAAATGGTAGTTACGAAAAATTGTTTGAATTATTAAATAATGCCAACCAAAAGATCACATTCACAATAGAGAAATCTATAAATAATACTATAAGGTATTTTAATATTAATATTGTAATCAAATAGAAACATATTGGATTAGGAAAGAAAAATGCAGTGATCTCATATTAAATTATTACTCAAACCACCCTAAACATCAGATTATAAACGCCGCCATTAATCTGATTAATAAAGAAATAAAACTTACGGACACCAAATATACGAAGAAGGTTAAAAACAATATATTCAACATTTTGGTGAGTAATTTTTATCCATACAAAATTGTCAAAAAACTGGTATAAATATATAAATAGTAAAAATAATGATAACGTGGAAGATGGTAGCTGAGAGAAAACACCTAAAAAGAATTTTAACTTAAAAAAATAACAACATGAATTATCCGGTGGGGAAATATCATTGTGTTCCTTGTGACAATTTATTAAAAAAAAGCCAATGTTCCCACAAAAAAAAGTGAACGAACTGCCCCAAAATGGCGTCCAAACATGGCGGATTGACGACTTTGACTTTAGTTAGTTTTTTTGTTACTGAGAATCAGCATTTGGCTTAATTTCATTATAGTTGGTATTTTATTAAAGCTGGATAGTCAGAGAATAATAAAACATGAAAAAATATTAAAAACTAGTAGGCTTAGGCATTGAAAAAAATCGGTAAAGTCAATTTTTTTTACAAAAAAATTTTCAAGTTGAAAATCAAGCGTCGTTTGTAATTAAACGGTCAACAATAATGCAAAACGTGCTGAAATAAAACATCTGGAGAATACATTTATCTTTCTAAAACACTGATTACTTTTTAAAATATTTGAAGTAGTTCCGTATAAAATGTACTTAAGCGGCAGAAAAGCGCTACTGGCGTGGGTTCCTACAGGCCTCTACCACATCACTCAGTACTCATATATGGCTTATTTATAGTGCTATAATAACTTTTTTGTTATATCATATTGATTATATTAACGAACAAATATTAATACAATAATTCAATTGTAAAATTTTTTTTTTAATTTAACTTCATTTATTCTATACGGAGGTCGCTTAAGAAGGCCTCTATTAACACAATTATATAATTATAATAATAAAACTTAATTGAAAAATACTTTGCAGAATATCTTGAATTTTTTATTTAATATTTGCAATTTAACATTTTGTTTTATATATTTACTGATTCTTAGAGGTAATTTAAATTGTATATACTTCTCCGGAAATGAGTCATATTAATATCTGTTTTATAAACTAAAATAATATATACCTAATCTGAACTACTTTTAATGAATAGGTGATGGATTGTTTAGTAAAATTCATATATCGCTATTAAAAAAAACATTTTTATTTCCTTTATTTTATTCGGAAGTTGGACCATATCATAAAAAATAGGAACTTTTAATATTGAAGTGCATTATTCCCTCTGCACAAAAGAAATATGGAAAGGGAGGAGCTATAAG